GGGGCGGGGGGCATGAAACAATACTAGTCACCGTGGGATATATTCTAATATTCCATGGCTAGTGGTTCGTTATGGGACTCTCTCAGTTTTATGAGAACCTGCACATAGCACATAAAGTTGATCACGGGGCTCTGGTCTGAAGATATAAAGCCCATAGTCTACCTCTACCCATGGAATACCATCGACTTATTCTGTGGACACAGGGATTTCAAAGGAATGGATGACCCAGAGAAGAATACAGCACTGAGCTAAGGAGCGTGGGGCGAGGGAGGCTGAGTGAGTGGTAGGTAGCGTTTAGTTTACGAAGGACACCAGGGTCCAGGTCTGGCAGGGGAGCTGCAGGCTAGCTCAGCCCCAGATGAGCAGGTTTGCCCCGGTTTGGGTGGCCTACCCCAGCGTATGATTGATTCTTCCCCCCTGCTGAGGCACTCTCTTCCCAGCCACCCCCATCCTGCTCCACATCTGGCTTCATCCCACAGCTGTGCTGCCCAGAACAGTACCCCCAAGGCCCACTTATCTGCTCAAAGGAGGTCTCCAACCCCTTCTCCTGTCCCCATACCCTCCCCCTCCCTGGGATTCCTGTAGGCACCTGAGAGGAACTTGGTTAGTATCTTGGGCTAGGCCAGAAGGTGGGCAGGGGTCTCAGGAACTGGAATAGGGAACCTGGGGTGGGGCTGGGCTCCCCCTGCCAAGGCATGGCTCCTGCTTAGGAAGCCAGGCATTGGCTGGTGGAAAGCTCCAACCCTATCTCTATGCTTTGGATGAGCTAGTTGTTTGTCCTCAGGAGCCACCATCCTGGCAAGGAAAGTTCCTGGGGCTCGAGGGGAGGGTCTGGATTGGCTTAGCCCCCAGCTCTACCCCAGGCTCCATCAGGAAGAGCTGAGCCTGAGTGGCATCACCATGGTGCAACTTGGCCCTTCCTTCACATCTTCCCCAACACTGGATCTTTCAGGATTAGTGCCCCAAGCATGGGTGCCCCAGGCCAGCCTGTCAAGGATCCCCAGTTCACTCCAATCAGGCACAGATCGTCTGTGCTCCTGACAATGCCAGTATTCTCCGTGTGCTAATTGCGTGCGCACACACATGCACGTACCACACATGCATGTTCACACACGCACGCGCACACACACAGAGTACAGACGTGTGTGCTCTGACATGTACACCAGCTAGTCCCAGGGAACAAGCCCTCTTCCCATGCTGCAGCAGACCTGGAAAGTCCATGCACTCCTGTTGGATCCCCTGGACCCCACAGCCTGGCAACCCTGCTCCTGGGAGCTTCCGCACCCTGGCCCCAGGTCTCAAGAACCCAGAGCTCTGGCAGGAGCAGTCTGTATGGCTGGAAGGTGTTCTGTGGCCCTCCCAAGCCTGCCCCCTGAAGCCCCATGCCGGTGTCCTCCTCCTGCCTTTCCAGTCCCATCCCCACATTGGATCTCCACTCCCTTCCCAAGTATTCACGTCCCCTCCTGGTGCTGTTTTAATGTCCAGACCTGTCCACCTTGGCCCTGAGACCCCCTCTGAGCTTCATCCCTCACCAGAACACCCCTTCCTCCAAAAGCTGGTGTGTGAGACCCAGATTAACTGTCACTGAGAGGGGTATGGTCCTTAGGGGTATCCCCCCATTTCTGCCTCCCTGAATCCCTTCCCGTTCCCCTTCTTTTCTGCTTACAGCTCTGCACCTAGATGGGCATGGGGCTGAGGGTGCATTTGTGAGTGAGTGGGGGCAGACCAGAGGCAAGGAAGGCAAGTGTGGGTGGAGACTGGGCCCTGCAGGGATTGAGGGAGGTGAGATGCAGCTCCCAAGTCCTGTCCAGCCTCATTCCACCCTCAATAGCAGCCAGGCGCCTCAGCGAAACCTGGGGTCTCCAGTTCCTCTTTTAGAACCTAGGTTCGGGACAAGTATAGCATGCTGGGCTCTGAGGGCACCCCCCCCTCCAGGGCATGATCCCTGGGACTCCAGCAAGGCCTCCCAGCCATGCCATAGCTCCTTCCCCTCCCCCCACCTCTGGTCTCTGAAAGCCTCAAGTCTCTGTGTCTGTGAGGAATGATCTGGTCTTTTCCTCTGTACCATGGCTAGCATGGCCTCAGTGTCAGGGAGATTTGTCCTGGGGGGGGCTGTAGGACCTTATGGGGGTATGTCAGGAGGGTACCCCACATCATCAGCGGCTGCCTGGAGCTGAGAGCCAGGAGATGTTGCTCCCCCCACCGTCTGCAGTCAGGAGGCCCAGACCACTTGCTCTGGACGGCTCGGAGTGCTCCTCTGTCCTGCCACGTCCATTCACGTGTGTCTTGTCCATCTCTACTCCTGTGATGTGGGTCAGTCCTCTGTGGTGCCATGTCTGGGGCTACGGTGTCCCACCATAGGTGATCAGTGGGCTGGCGGGGAGGAGGGGTGGTGGCCAGACCCTCTTTCCTGCCCACAGGCACCCTCAGCAGCAGTGACCCCCAGAGAAGACCCTGCCTGGGCCCCTGGGAACTACCACTGCAGCTTCTGGGTCCTCTTTAGGGTGGTGGTGGGAGGTTCTCTCCAGAGCAGTGAGTCCTAAGTGCGCCTCTCCCAGCCCTCCCTTTCCCCTGCTTGGCTGCAGAGAGTGCCTGGAGTGGTGCTAGCCGGGGTAGGGTGAGTGACGACTGGGGCAGAGGTGACCAGGCAGGGTGTGGGCAGGGCCCCTCACATGAGCTGATCAAGTTTCTGCTCAGATACAGGGCCTGGGTGGGCAGCTGGGGCCCGTGTGGGGTCCATGTGGCCCCCAGGCGGGCTAAGGGGGAAGTATCCGNTTCTCTCCAGAGCAGTGAGTCCTAAGTGCGCCTCTCCCAGCCCTCCCTTTCCCCTGCTTGGCTGCAGAGAGTGCCTGGAGTGGTGCTAGCCGGGGTAGGGTGAGTGACGACTGGGGCAGAGGTGACCAGGCAGGGTGTGGGCAGGGCCCCTCACATGAGCTGATCAAGTTTCTGCTCAGATACAGGGCCTGGGTGGGCAGCTGGGGCCCGTGTGGGGTCCATGTGGCCCCCAGGCGGGCTAAGGAGGAAGTATCCAAAAAATGATGCAACTCTGAGGGCCAGGCCTGGTGTTCTTTTCTGTGTTTTTCATATTCTCTCTTTTTCTCTCTCTCCGCTAATCATGTTTCTCTCTCTTTCTCTCCTCGTTTTGTTGCATGACTTGTGCCGGTTCTCGTGACTGTACTCTGCTCGTGTCTCCCACAGACTGTCCCCAGATAGCCTGGGACTTTTTCCCTGAGCCCCCCGCTGGGCAGAACCCTTGGAGCTAAACCCAAGGAAATGCCCAGCAACCCCCCACCCCACCCCAGCCCTGTGTGCGCCCCCGGCGCCCGCTGCTGGTCTGAACAGTAAGTACATCGGCTGTGCCTGGACCAGGGCGAGAAAGCCAGCCCCGCTGGTGAAGGGCCCTGACACCCGGTTCTCCTTGCTCCAAAGTTTTAAAAAAATGACCCTCTCGCGGATGCTCATCTATCTCAGCCCATTTCAAAGCCTGGAAACCATCTCCGTGAGCCGCTGCCCATGCTGCCATTTCATCATCGCAAGCCCGCGGGTCTAGTGGGGCCGAGGGACCCTGGCCCAGGGGAGGCAGGGCTCCGGCCTTCTGGGGAGCAGGTGGAAACCGAGGCCATCTCATCCAAAGGATGGGGTAAGGGCAGAGGGGGGAGTCTTGGGTGAGCTGACCCTCTGGCCTTTTTCATGGGTTCCCCAGGTTTGCAGAGTAGATCCCCCCTTTGTTTCTCTTTCGTCCAGCCACCCTTTGGAGTTGGGGAGGGAGGATGCTCCCACTTTCTGACAGCACCCCAAACCGCAGATAAACTAACAGCCCAGGGAGGCTGGCTCCTTCACAGAGCAAGACCTAAACACTCTCACCCAATTACAGCCCTTCCTCAAACTCATGGTCGAGAGTAGAAGCAGAGCCAAGTGTGTCTTGGGGGTCCCTCAAGGAAGGAAGGGTGTGCAGCTCACACCTACCCAGGGATCCCTGCCGGTTGCCCCCTGCTCCCTTCCCCTGCAGGGAAAACCAGCCCCAACTTTGGACCCTTTAAAGTCTGTGGGAGCTGGATGCTCCAGGGGCATGGCGCTGGGGGACAGAGACTTTGGGTGGGGACACAGCACTCAGAACCAGAGGAGGCCTCGGGCTCCACCCTTCACCTTTGACCCACCCCTGAGCAAGAGCTGTAGGCTGTGGACCCCTCCCCTGACCAAGGATGGCCAACGGAGGGACAGCACGTCCTGGCTCCCCCAGATGGAGACGCAGCCTGGTAGGACTTACTGTTTCCCCTTGAGGAAGCTTGGGCAGGATTCTCTGCGCCCCGACTTCCGCACCCCCATCCATGCCCCCTCTCCCCAGTCACCCTCCTTCAGCCCAGAGACCCTTGGGAGGGAAGCGGGTCCGCCAGAGGGGTGGCAGGGCCGGGCATGTGTGTGTGCGCACAGGTGTGTGCCCACAGACACGCCCAGTGCGAGGCCCAGCCCCAGTCAGTGGTGTCCGAGTTACCTCGGTAACTGGCCTCAGGCTCAGCGTAAGGCGGGAAGCGAAGCCCCGGACTTGCCGAGAAACGCACTGGACGTGAACTGCTTGCCATCTTGTATGACAGACTTTTTTTAAGTTCCAAAATTATGATGGGATTTTTTTTGGATTTGCTTTACGAATAAACCTGATTGGTCCATTTCTCTTTTGACTGACTGCCTCTTTGTAGTGACATTATGTGCACACGGCCGGGATCCCGCCCTCGGGCACGCTGAGCGGTGCCCGCGGAGGAGGATCCCCTCTGCGTGCAGTTCATGATGTGGACAGGGCCACGGAACAGGGTCAGATCGGGAGGGGACTGCCCAGCTTTCCCCCTTAGGCTTGCAGAGCGCCTCCCCTCCTGCGGTCCCACTCACGGTGGTGGCCGTCTTCCCTGGAGGCTCCCACCCCAGGGGAGGTCCCTAAGAAAGGCAAGGTGCCCACTGTGGGGACTGAGTTGGCTCTGCCTGGCCAGGAGGATTCTGCTTTGAGAGCAGAGAGCGTGGGGCAGGCTCAGTCCCCAGGAGTGATGGGCGGGGGCAGAGGCCAGGCAGAGCTACCTCTGCCAGCTGCAGGGGCGTCCACGGCGCTGCTCCTGGACTTGGGAGAGGGTGAGCTCCCTGCCTGGCCACACTTTGCCCCCCGGCCCAATGTGCCCCCAGACCTCCTCCCAGGTTTCTTCTCGGGCTGCCACAGAGGCCAAGACTCGTCTTCCCCACCTGAGCCCATCAGCCGCTGTTGTCTTTACACATCCATTTGCTCTGCTTTTCGGGGGGGATGCTGCTGAGAGGAGACAGAGGAATGGGAGCCCCTCCCAAATCATGGCCACTGTCACCGCCTCATGCAAACATCCCTGTTGTGCCTGTGCAAGCTGACCAGGCCTGCTTTGTGCGGAGCGGGTTGGAAGCCACTGGCTTGGTCTGTGTGAGGACCAGAGCGAACCGAGTGACCAGCATAAGTCTGTGTGGGGGATGGGGCAGATTGAGTGGTCAGATTGGGTCTGCATGGGGACAGAGGAGGCTGTGTGGCTGGGCCTAGTCTGTATGGAGACTGGGGCAGACTGATCAGATTGGATCTGTATGGGGGACAGAGAAGACTGTGTGGCAGGGCCTAGTCTGTATGGGGGGCGGAGCATACAGAGTGACTAGATTAGAGAGATATGGGGGGCGGGCAGGCTATGTGATCAGATAGGGTGTGTGGTGGACAGCGTGAAATGAGTGAGCAGATGGGATCCAAATGCGGACTGGGGTAGAGTCAATGGATGGGGTCTGGATGGGGCTAGGGAAGCCTGAGCTGGGTAAAGATGGGAGGCAGCCAAACTCTGGTCAGCAGCAGAGGGGTCAGAAAAGGCTGCCTCTCTGGAGTGTTTCAGCATGTCTGTCTGTCTGCCCCCTGAGCTGTGTCTGGCCCTCTACCCATGTCTGCATCCACACCATCCTGTCTCATCGGCCCGGCCTTGGGCCTTGGGCCCTGGGCCCAGCCCCCAGCACCGCGCTTGCTGGGCCCATCACTCATCTTTTTGCAAACTTTGAGCAAACCCAGGATCCCCTCTTTTGCAGCACTGTGGGCAGCCTGTGGGCTACCTGATGAGCCGGAACTCCCAGCCTTGTGCCTCCCTCCACGGCCCCTCACTTTTCGGTCCTCAGGGACAGGCTGCCCTTTGCCAATGCCCCACCTCCGGCCTGTCCCCCCCACTAAACAGTTTTCAGTGTCTCAATAGCTTCTGCTTATATGTTTGAAGATTCCAAACTGAATGGGGAGGTGGCGAAGGCCGCGCTGGCGAACGAAGACTGCCCCCACATAGACCAGGCCCTCACTCCTGATGAGGGCCTGCCCTTTACGCGCTCGGGCACCCGCGAGAGATACGGACCCTGCTTCCTCTTATCAACCGGGGAGTACACGTGCCCACCTGGTGGAGGAATGAGAAAGGGTATGTAGAGGAGGCTGGGGCACTGCATCAGCCGGGCCGCCTCGCGCTCCTGCAGATGGGTGGGCAGGGTGGCGGGCAAGGGGCGCTGAGGGGCAGGCAGGCACACTGATGGGGGGCAGGGAGCAGAAGGAGCCCCAGGGTTGGTCCCCTGAGACCTGAGTTCTTCTCTCCTAAGTGGAATGTCAAAGCAGCAGAGAGAACCTGAGGTCCAGGCAGCTGTGGGTTGGTATTAAGGGTTAGTATTTAAGGGGTAGGAGGGTAGGAGGGACCTGGAGACAGGCTGGTTGGCTGACTGTGGGCCATGACCCTAAAGAAGAGGGGTACCCAGGGATGCGGGAGGAGCCTCGATTGCTCCAGGCTGCTCTGACAAATGGCAGGTCAGACCCAAAAGGCAAAGTGTTCTTCCCATCCAGTGGTTGAGGAGGGCAGTGGGTGGACCTGGCCAGGACCCTGTGGGATTAGCCACCCAAGATCCATGTTCTGGAAGAGGTATCCTTTAAAGAGAATCCACAGACCATTGGGAGGGGAGCCATGAAGAAAAAGGTGGCTTCAGGCCTTGGGGTTGAAGCCAGTGTCCCTGCAGAGGTTAGGTGTGTGCCAGTCAGAATATTGCTAATGGCAGAGAATTTGCCAAGAGAAGGTTGTTAACACAGGACTCTGTGCAGCCCCTTCCATCCCCAGGGCCCATTAGCCAGGTCCTGGGTGTGGTCAGCGCCCCCTTGTGGTTGGTGAAGGCTGACTCCATGGTGGTCTCCTCTCAAGGACTCCTTCTACCAGATCCTTATCTTAGGCTGACACCCTGGGGAAAGGCTTCTACTAGAGCTTGATAGAGAATGGGCTGGAGAGAGGTTGGGGCGGGAGCCCAGAGCACCCTAGCTCCAGGCTCCAGGCCTTGGCCCGTGGCCCAGAAGGTGGAGAAAGCCATCCTCAGCACAGGGGACTGGCTGGGCAGCTCGTGCATGTCTGGGAACACCTCCTGCTCACATGGGATGCATGCTGACCAGGGTGAGCAGGTTGGGCCACAGCGATAGTTGGTTTTTTAGAGCAACAGTTGGTGTACCCTGTGGCCATTCACAACTGCTCCAGTATTTGAAGTGGTTCAACAATACACAGGGAGAAAATGCAGAATTCAAAATAAAAGGCAAACCCAGGCGAGGAGAGGCAGCCTACACTGAGATGGGGAATTCTTTTGGTCACTGGTGCTTAGTGTGCCCACCTGATCCAGGCTGGTCCCTGCTTCCTTGCCCTGCCTGGAGGTCCCTTGGACCCCAGTGCGGCATAGCGCTCCCCGCATGGTGCTGCATGGCGGAGGGCTGCCGGCCTGGGAGGGGGGTGGGCCCATCCTTGGCACCTTCCATGGATAGGCCTAATGCATCTGGCTTTCCCCTCAGTGGAGGCTCTAGAATGCCAGGAGCAGGGGCAGGCCAGGGGAGGGAGGGGGAAGCAGGTAGACCTTTCCCAGTGGCTGTGCTCTGCCTGGTAAGGTCTCATGGGCTGCCTGCCTCCTTCATCTTGAGCGTTGGACCAGTCTGTGTGGCCTGGAGCAGAAAGGAGAGTTTACTGTGCTTCCAGAAGTCCAGGAAGTGTGGGACAGAAGGAGCCCTCTCTCCTTGTAGTTGCCCAGCGGAAGCCACTGTCCACAGGCAGTACCCACTCCCCAATCCCAGAGGCCTGGGTGCCAGAATCTTTGGGAGGCACCCAGGGTGAAGTGCCCCCACCCACATCCACCTAGCCCTGCTCTCATGGAGTCATGACAGCCGCTGGTGACTTGCTTTTCTCAGGATAATTCCAGGCCGTAAGCCATGTGCAGAGTAGCAGAGGAGTTAGGGCCTCTACCCGGTCCCCAGGAGGGAGAGGAAGAGGCGTGCTAGGCTGGCTCACTGCATGGGAAACCAGGCCAGCTGGAGAAGAATCTGCCTGCCTCTGCATGCGGCTGTTCTGTCTTTCCTCCTCCTTCCTTAAAAACTAAGTACCAAGCGGGATGGGAGAGCCAAGAAGAGACGCTCAAGTGTTAATTGTATTCTTTACATACAGATCTTTGCAAAGAAAGCCCTGTCATTGCTAAGTATATGCCGACAGAGGCTGTGAGAGTGACTTGACCAGGCGGCTTGGCCGAGGACACTGGTGGCTATTAAGCATCTGGGTGGACCTGCAGCCCCTCCTCACCCTCGGACAGAGTAAATTCACGCCATGCAGGTTTGCCGGACGAGTCCGAGTGGCCCAGGCATTGTACTAGGACGGACGTAGCTTTTTCTACGGCCAAATGGTAACTGACCGTAGAGGATTTCTTTTCCTTCTTTTCATTTTTAAAAAATTTTATTTTATTCGGGGAGGGAGGTGGAGGGGTTCCTTAGCATGACTTGCATGAAGTTAAACAGAAAACCCAGCCAACCAAACCCACCCACCCCCCTGCAACTGTATGATTACCCTAAACAACGAAAAGAAAAAAAGCAGAAGTCCTCTATTTTCTTTCAAAGCTTTTTACTTTTATACATGTTGGAGCCAGACTGTAAGGGCGTTCGGTAGAAACCTG